ACACCTATCAAATTTTCCTCTTATCAGTCTTGAAATAATTACATGAACCTATGGTGTTTTCTTCGTACATTATATCTCTATTAGGTTAGATTGTATGCCATTCTTCTCAGCTTTTCTATCTGTGAGATTTATCAACAAAATCATTGTTTGTTAGTTAAGCTATTGGTGTTTACTACTTGAACTTCATTCATATATATCTCTTTCTGTAAGTTAAAGATGATCACAGAGCTTCTCATCAGGTAACTATATTTCGTAATCTAGTAATAAATTAAACCTCTAATAAATAATCATGATTAAAAATATGCACAACGTCGTACTCGTGGTGATGGAAAAATAACTTACCCATTTGCTGTTTACGCCTATCTGTTTTGAATAGTAAATATAAAAGACGGCACATGCATTAAGCCCGATTATATATATATCATTTGTGATAATTAAACACAGTATTTCGCAAGTGCACCTTGTATGCATAGTATGCACAGATTGTTACCCTCCTGGAGATCTGATAAATAAGGCGTTAATCATCCAGTTACATATCTAGGTGAATAAAATAATCAAGTTGAAATATCATGAAAATGGATCAGATATTTGCCAAAATCCTTATTATTTTTAGCTTGTATCGAAGTTTTATGTTGTATATAAGATCTGATTGCCAGAACATATTTCAAAATGGTTGTTACTAAGCTAAAAACATTTCATTTTTTTAAATTTTCAATCAACTGTATCATTCATACACTATTTAGATTAATAAATTTGTCACGACATTGATTAATGTCTCTCTTTAAACGGATTTCTCAAAATGTTATTTAATTATGAAAAAAATCAACGAAAAATTAGAAAGAAATTTAAATTGTACTTACAGTTTTCTAACATAAGTTGAGGTTTACCTATTTCGTAACAAACACAATAAGATAGATTCATTTCCAAAACATTCGCGATATAGATAGATAGATAGACATAGATATAGATATGGATATAAATGATTTAAAGATACGTATGTGTAATCGAACGGCTTTCATCGTCAGTGTTCTTTTATTAAGATTGTGTTATGAACGTATAACAATCGTTATTGTATATGAAACGTGCAATGATACAGAAAATACGTACGAGCAGTCTTGATTGCTATTCGGTCCTTCCTAACTGCCTAGCCCAGCCAGTTGAGTCCAGAACACAAATAACAGCCTCGGAAATATGAATCATTATTCACAAGCACACTGGGTTATATATACTAACCAAACAGACCCAATTATACCAAAAAATAGAAAAATAACATTTGTACAGTAATTGGCCAATGTGACTGTAGCTAGGGGGAAAGTAATCAATAATAATAGTTCCAAGGTCAAAACAAAGGTTGTGATAAGAGGAACACGGGAACGATTAGGTCACTTATTTAACAACTATCCAATAGGGAATTGGCATATTGTATTTGTCCATAAATAGACATCAGATTTAGGTTACTCATTTAACAACTATCCAATAGGAATAGGCGTATTACATTTGTCCATAAATGAACATCAGATTTATGATTCATAATTCGCCAGGGGATACAACACCTCCCCTTTTTGAGAAATCCGGAGTTGATATCCGGATTTTTAATTTCCTCGAATTCACCCTCCCCCACGAAAGACTGTTGGATCCTCATATAGCCAAGTTACTATTAATGCGATATGTTTGTCACCTTTAACAGGGAATGCATTAGAACTGAAGAGATCATGAGGATCGACGACATTTGATTCGAGGTCACCAACATTTGATTCTTCTGAAATAGTTTCCTTGAATTTCCTCGGAACCTCATTAGTAGATAATGAATCATTAGGATAATCAGTATCTATGAGAGTTGTATTGGATTCTTGATTATCATTAAATACATCTGACATTTTTCTCTCATTTTTATAAGAGAATTCAACAGAAACATGTGAATCATCAAAATAATCTAAATCTGGTAGAACAATTACAGAATTTTGATCATTAGATTCATTAGAAACATTTTCCGTATCATGATTAATTTCATTTGGTGCCACTGTATTCCATATACTGCTCGATTTGTTTCCCGTTTCTTCGTGGGCGGGTACTGCAGCAATTTCATGAGCATTTTGCAAGACATTTACTTTCTGTGAATAGGATAATTCATTGTTTGCACGTCCGTTTTCGGGATTAATAAGACTTGGACCGTGTACAGGGCATGTCTCTGAAACAGGTAGTACTGGGTTACTGGGCTGATCATGTATAACTGCTGCGCTTAAATTATTGCTTTGTATGGATTCATTGAGGCTTTCGCCGGCATATTCATTAGTTCTGTAACTGTTTTCCAGCTCTGTACGCAATTTTGAAATTATTGCGTCAACTTCCGTTTCACTCCCAAAGCATGGGTGATTCAGCAGCTTCGCGTGTAATTTGTCAATGAAATCCAATTGACTCTTTCTGAAGCGCTGCTCTTGTCGCTGGATTAGCAACTGAAATTGGTCGGAAGTTAAGGCCATTTTTTAAAATGTAAATAATAATAATAAATCCAAAAAAAACACCGGCAATTATTATGGATTATTTAATTCCGAAATGACGTCAGCGGCTGCTGTATTTTTTTCCAGAATCCCCGTCGCCAATTTGTTATGAACGTATAACAATCGTTATTGTATATGAAACGTGCAATGATACAGAAAATACGTACGAGCAGTCTTGATTGCTATTCGGTCCTTCCTAACTGCCTAGCCCAGCCAGTTGAGTCCAGAACACAAATAACAGCCTCGGAAATATGAATCATTATTCACAAGCACACTGGGTTATATATACTAACCAAACAGACCCAATTATACCAAAAAATAGAAAAATAACATTTGTACAGTAATTGGCCAATGTGACTGTAGCTAGGGGGAAAGTAATCAATAATAATAGTTCCAAGGTCAAAACAAAGGTTGTGATAAGAGGAACACGGGAACGATTAGGTCACTTATTTAACAACTATCCAATAGGGAATTGGCATATTGTATTTGTCCATAAATAGACATCAGATTTAGGTTACTCATTTAACAACTATCCAATAGGAATAGGCGTATTACATTTGTCCATAAATGAACATCAGATTTATGATTCATAATTCGCCAGGGGATACAACACCTCCCCTTTTTGAGAAATCCGGAGTTGATATCCGGATTTTTAATTTCCTCGAATTCACCCTCCCCCACGAAAGACTGTTGGATCCTCATATAGCCAAGTTACTATTAATGCGATATGTTTGTCACCTTTAACAGGGAATGCATTAGAACTGAAGAGATCATGAGGATCGACGACATTTGATTCGAGGTCACCAACATTTGATTCTTCTGAAATAGTTTCCTTGAATTTCCTCGGAACCTCATTAGTAGATAATGAATCATTAGGATAATCAGTATCTATGAGAGTTGTATTGGATTCTTGATTATCATTAAATACATCTGACATTTTTCTCTCATTTTTATAAGAGAATTCAACAGAAACATGTGAATCATCAAAATAATCTAAATCTGGTAGAACAATTACAGAATTTTGATCATTAGATTCATTAGAAACATTTTCCGTATCATGATTAATTTCATTTGGTGCCACTGTATTCCATATACTGCTCGATTTGTTTCCCGTTTCTTCGTGGGCGGGTACTGCAGCAATTTCATGAGCATTTTGCAAGACATTTACTTTCTGTGAATAGGATAATTCATTGTTTGCACGTCCGTTTTCGGGATTAATAAGACTTGGACCGTGTACAGGGCATGTCTCTGAAACAGGTAGTACTGGGTTACTGGGCTGATCATGTATAACTGCTGCGCTTAAATTATTGCTTTGTATGGATTCATTGAGGCTTTCGCCGGCATATTCATTAGTTCTGTAACTGTTTTCCAGCTCTGTACGCAATTTTGAAATTATTGCGTCAACTTCCGTTTCACTCCCAAAGCATGGGTGATTCAGCAGCTTCGCGTGTAATTTGTCAATGAAATCCAATTGACTCTTTCTGAAGCGCTGCTCTTGTCGCTGGATTAGCAACTGAAATTGGTCGGAAGTTAAGGCCATTTTTTAAAATGTAAATAATAATAATAAATCCAAAAAAAACACCGGCAATTATTATGGATTATTTAATTCCGAAATGACGTCAGCGGCTGCTGTATTTTTTTCCAGAATCCCCGTCGCCAATTTGTTATGAACGTATAACAATCGTTATTGTATATGAAACGTGCAATGATACAGAAAATACGTACGAGCAGTCTTGATTGCTATTCGGTCCTTCCTAACTGCCTAGCCCAGCCAGTTGAGTCCAGAACACAAATAACAGCCTCGGAAATATGAATCATTATTCACAAGCACACTGGGTTATATATACTAACCAAACAGACCCAATTATACCAAAAAATAGAAAAATAACATTTGTACAGTAATTGGCCAATGTGACTGTAGCTAGGGGGAAAGTAATCAATAATAATAGTTCCAAGGTCAAAACAAAGGTTGTGATAAGAGGAACACGGGAACGATTAGGTCACTTATTTAACAACTATCCAATAGGGAATTGGCATATTGTATTTGTCCATAAATAGACATCAGATTTAGGTTACTCATTTAACAACTATCCAATAGGAATAGGCGTATTACATTTGTCCATAAATGAACATCAGATTTATGATTCATAATTCGCCAGGGGATACAACACCTCCCCTTTTTGAGAAATCCGGAGTTGATATCCGGATTTTTAATTTCCTCGAATTCACCCTCCCCCACGAAAGACTGTTGGATCCTCATATAGCCAAGTTACTATTAATGCGATATGTTTGTCACCTTTAACAGGGAATGCATTAGAACTGAAGAGATCATGAGGATCGACGACATTTGATTCGAGGTCACCAACATTTGATTCTTCTGAAATAGTTTCCTTGAATTTCCTCGGAACCTCATTAGTAGATAATGAATCATTAGGATAATCAGTATCTATGAGAGTTGTATTGGATTCTTGATTATCATTAAATACATCTGACATTTTTCTCTCATTTTTATAAGAGAATTCAACAGAAACATATGAATCATCAAAATAATCTAAATCTGGTAGAACAATTACAGAATTTTGATCATTAGATTCATTAGAAACATTTTCCGTATCATGATTAATTTCATTTGGTGCCACTGTATTCCATATACTGCTCGATTTGTTTCCCGTTTCTTCGTGGGCGGGTACTGCAGCAATTTCATGAGCATTTTGCAAGACATTTACTTTCTGTGAATAGGATAATTCATTGTTTGCACGTCCGTTTTCGGGATTAATAAGACTTGGACCGTGTACAGGGCATGTCTCTGAAACAGGTAGTACTGGGTTACTGGGCTGATCATGTATAACTGCTGCGCTTAAATTATTGCTTTGTATGGATTCATTGAGGCTTTCGCCGGCATATTCATTAGTTCTGTAACTGTTTTCCAGCTCTGTACGCAATTTTGAAATTATTGCGTCAACTTCCGTTTCACTCCCAAAGCATGGGTGATTCAGCAGCTTCGCGTGTAATTTGTCAATGAAATCCAATTGACTCTTTCTGAAGCGCTGCTCTTGTCGCTGGATTAGCAACTGAAATTGGTCGGAAGTTAAGGCCATTTTTTAAAATGTAAATAATAATAATAAATCCAAAAAAAAACACCGGCAATTATTATGGATTATTTAATTCCGAAATGACGTCAGCGGCTGCTGTATTTTTTTCCAGAATCCCCGTCGCCAATTTGTTATGAACGTATAACAATCGTTATTGTATATGAAACGTGCAATGATACAGAAAATACGTACGAGCAGTCTTGATTGCTATTCGGTCCTTCCTAACTGCCTAGCCCAGCCAGTTGAGTCCAGAACACAAATAACAGCCTCGGAAATATGAATCATTATTCACAAGCACACTGGGTTATATATACTAACCAAACAGACCCAATTATACCAAAAAATAGAAAAATAACATTTGTACAGTAATTGGCCAATGTGACTGTAGCTAGGGGGAAAGTAATCAATAATAATAGTTCCAAGGTCAAAACAAAGGTTGTGATAAGAGGAACAAGGGAACGATTAGGTCACTTATTTAACAACTATCCAATAGGGAATTGGCATATTGTATTTGTCCATAAATAGACATCAGATTTAGGTTACTCATTTAACAACTATCCAATAGGAATAGGCGTATTACATTTGTCCATAAATGAACATCAGATTTATGATTCATAATTCGCCAGGGGATACAACACCTCCCCTTTTTGAGAAATCCGGAGTTGATATCCGGATTTTTAATTTCCTCGAATTCACCCTCCCCCACGAAAGACTGTTGGATCCTCATATAGCCAAGTTACTATTAATGCGATATGTTTGTCACCTTTAACAGGGAATGCATTAGAACTGAAGAGATCATGAGGATCGACGACATTTGATTCGAGGTCACCAACATTTGATTCTTCTGAAATAGTTTCCTTGAATTTCCTCGGAACCTCATTAGTAGATAATGAATCATTAGGATAATCAGTATCTATGAGAGTTGTATTGGATTCTTGATTATCATTAAATACATCTGACATTTTTCTCTCATTTTTATAAGAGAATTCAACAGAAACATATGAATCATCAAAATAATCTAAATCTGGTAGAACAATTACAGAATTTTGATCATTAGATTCATTAGAAACATTTTCCGTATCATGATTAATTTCATTTGGTGCCACTGTATTCCATATACTGCTCGATTTGTTTCCCGTTTCTTCGTGGGCGGGTACTGCAGCAATTTCATGAGCATTTTGCAAGACATTTACTTTCTGTGAATAGGATAATTCATTGTTTGCACGTCCGTTTTCGGGATTAATAAGACTTGGACCGTGTACAGGGCATGTCTCTGAAACAGGTAGTACTGGGTTACTGGGCTGATCATGTATAACTGCTGCGCTTAAATTATTGCTTTGTATGGATTCATTGAGGCTTTCGCCGGCATATTCATTAGTTCTGTAACTGTTTTCCAGCTCTGTACGCAATTTTGAAATTATTGCGTCAACTTCCGTTTCACTCCCAAAGCATGGGTGATTCAGCAGCTTCGCGTGTAATTTGTCAATGAAATCCAATTGACTCTTTCTGAAGCGCTGCTCTTGTCGCTGGATTAGCAACTGAAATTGGTCGGAAGTTAAGGCCATTTTTTAAAATGTAAATAATAATAATAAATCCAAAAAAAAACACCGGCAATTATTATGGATTATTTAATTCCGAAATGACGTCAGCGGCTGCTGTATTTTTTTCCAGAATCCCCGTCGCCAATTTGTTATGAACGTATAACAATCGTTATTGTATATGAAACGTGCAATGATACAGAAAATACGTACGAGCAGTCTTGATTGCTATTCGGTCCTTCCTAACTGCCTAGCCCAGCCAGTTGAGTCCAGAACACAAATAACAGCCTCGGAAATATGAATCATTATTCACAAGCACACTGGGTTATATATACTAACCAAACAGACCCAATTATACCAAAAAATAGAAAAATAACATTTGTACAGTAATTGGCCAATGTGACTGTAGCTAGGGGGAAAGTAATCAATAATAATAGTTCCAAGGTCAAAACAAAGGTTGTGATAAGAGGAACACGGGAACGATTAGGTCACTTATTTAACAACTATCCAATAGGGAATTGGCATATTGTATTTGTCCATAAATAGACATCAGATTTAGGTTACTCATTTAACAACTATCCAATAGGAATAGGCGTATTACATTTGTCCATAAATGAACATCAGATTTATGATTCATAATTCGCCAGGGGATACAACACCTCCCCTTTTTGAGAAATCCGGAGTTGATATCCGGATTTTTAATTTCCTCGAATTCACCCTCCCCCACGAAAGACTGTTGGATCCTCATATAGCCAAGTTACTATTAATGCGATATGTTTGTCACCTTTAACAGGGAATGCATTAGAACTGAAGAGATCATGAGGATCGACGACATTTGATTCGAGGTCACCAACATTTGATTCTTCTGAAATAGTTTCCTTGAATTTCCTCGGAACCTCATTAGTAGATAATGAATCATTAGGATAATCAGTATCTATGAGAGTTGTATTGGATTCTTGATTATCATTAAATACATCTGACATTTTTCTCTCATTTTTATAAGAGAATTCAACAGAAACATATGAATCATCAAAATAATCTAAATCTGGTAGAACAATTACAGAATTTTGATCATTAGATTCATTAGAAACATTTTCCGTATCATGATTAATTTCATTTGGTGCCACTGTATTCCATATACTGCTCGATTTGTTTCCCGTTTCTTCGTGGGCGGGTACTGCAGCAATTTCATGAGCATTTTGCAAGACATTTACTTTCTGTGAATAGGATAATTCATTGTTTGCACGTCCGTTTTCGGGATTAATAAGACTTGGACCGTGTACAGGGCATGTCTCTGAAACAGGTAGTACTGGGTTACTGGGCTGATCATGTATAACTGCTGCGCTTAAATTATTGCTTTGTATGGATTCATTGAGGCTTTCGCCGGCATATTCATTAGTTCTGTAACTGTTTTCCAGCTCTGTACGCAATTTTGAAATTATTGCGTCAACTTCCGTTTCACTCCCAAAGCATGGGTGATTCAGCAGCTTCGCGTGTAATTTGTCAATGAAATCCAATTGACTCTTTCTGAAGCGCTGCTCTTGTCGCTGGATTAGCAACTGAAATTGGTCGGAAGTTAAGGCCATTTTTTAAAATGTAAATAATAATAATAAATCCAAAAAAAACACCGGCAATTATTATGGATTATTTAATTCCGAAATGACGTCAGCGGCTGCTGTATTTTTTTCCAGAATCCCCGTCGCCAATTTGTTATGAACGTATAACAATCGTTATTGTATATGAAACGTGCAATGATACAGAAAATACGTACGAGCAGTCTTGATTGCTATTCGGTCCTTCCTAACTGCCTAGCCCAGCCAGTTGAGTCCAGAACACAAATAACAGCCTCGGAAATATGAATCATTATTCACAAGCACACTGGGTTATATATACTAACCAAACAGACCCAATTATACCAAAAAATAGAAAAATAACATTTGTACAGTAATTGGCCAATGTGACTGTAGCTAGGGGGAAAGTAATCAATAATAATAGTTCCAAGGTCAAAACAAAGGTTGTGATAAGAGGAACACGGGAACGATTAGGTCACTTATTTAACAACTATCCAATAGGGAATTGGCATATTGTATTTGTCCATAAATAGACATCAGATTTAGGTTACTCATTTAACAACTATCCAATAGGAATAGGCGTATTACATTTGTCCATAAATGAACATCAGATTTATGATTCATAATTCGCCAGGGGATACAACACCTCCCCTTTTTGAGAAATCCGGAGTTGATATCCGGATTTTTAATTTCCTCGAATTCACCCTCCCCCACGAAAGACTGTTGGATCCTCATATAGCCAAGTTACTATTAATGCGATATGTTTGTCACCTTTAACAGGGAATGCATTAGAACTGAAGAGATCATGAGGATCGACGACATTTGATTCGAGGTCACCAACATTTGATTCTTCTGAAATAGTTTCCTTGAATTTCCTCGGAACCTCATTAGTAGATAATGAATCATTAGGATAATCAGTATCTATGAGAGTTGTATTGGATTCTTGATTATCATTAAATACATCTGACATTTTTCTCTCATTTTTATAAGAGAATTCAACAGAAACATATGAATCATCAAAATAATCTAAATCTGGTAGAACAATTACAGAATTTTGATCATTAGATTCATTAGAAACATTTTCCGTATCATGATTAATTTCATTTGGTGCCACTGTATTCCATATACTGCTCGATTTGTTTCCCGTTTCTTCGTGGGCGGGTACTGCAGCAATTTCATGAGCATTTTGCAAGACATTTACTTTCTGTGAATAGGATAATTCATTGTTTGCACGTCCGTTTTCGGGATTAATAAGACTTGGACCGTGTACAGGGCATGTCTCTGAAACAGGTAGTACTGGGTTACTGGGCTGATCATGTATAACTGCTGCGCTTAAATTATTGCTTTGTATGGATTCATTGAGGCTTTCGCCGGCATATTCATTAGTTCTGTAACTGTTTTCCAGCTCTGTACGCAATTTTGAAATTATTGCGTCAACTTCCGTTTCACTCCCAAAGCATGGGTGATTCAGCAGCTTCGCGTGTAATTTGTCAATGAAATCCAATTGACTCTTTCTGAAGCGCTGCTCTTGTCGCTGGATTAGCAACTGAAATTGGTCGGAAGTTAAGGCCATTTTTTAAAATGTAAATAATAATAATAAATCCAAAAAAAACACCGGCAATTATTATGGATTATTTAATTCCGAAATGACGTCAGCGGCTGCTGTATTTTTTTCCAGAATCCCCGTCGCCAATTTGTTATGAACGTATAACAATCGTTATTGTATATGAAACGTGCAATGATACAGAAAATACGTACGAGCAGTCTTGATTGCTATTCGGTCCTTCCTAACTGCCTAGCCCAGCCAGTTGAGTCCAGAACACAAATAACAGCCTCGGAAATATGAATCATTATTCACAAGCACACTGGGTTATATATACTAACCAAACAGACCCAA